TTTGAACATCTTCAGTACAGAATGTCTTTTGCCTTACTGGGCTGTGTGTGTGTGTGTGTGTGTGTGTGTGTGTGTGTGTGTAAGACAATTTTGGAAGAGACCATATTGATAAACTTGAAAGAAGGAGCCTCTTCTCTGAGTGAAAATTGCTAGGATTCATTAGCTATTAGTCATTGGTGCAGTAGAGTTCCTCCTTGAAACTGTTGTAATAATCTTGAATTACAAAGAGAATCGAAGAACTGAGTTTGGGAACTTTGAGGGAATCTCAGTCAGATCAACTTGGCCAGGTATCATGGCTCACAAATGCTACAGAAACTTACCAGTTTTAGATCAGTATCTTATTTTCAGAGACCTAATCCCTAAAGTAATTACCATTAAATTCTAAGGCATTTCCCCTAGTTTTAGAAATGAAATTTGTTGGTTTTTTAATTCATACTTTCATAATAAGTCTGGCAATCTGTAAAAAAGGAAAAAATAATTTTCCTTTGACCTATAAGAGTACCTGACAAACCTTCCATTCTCCCACTTAAATGGTTCATAAAGCGCTGTTTCATAAACGCTGTGTAAACAGACATTGTTTCCTCAGCTTGAAGGATCTCTGTTCTTCCCTCATCTATATCTTTTGGACTCTGCTATGGAATTGTCTTTTAAACTTTTATTAGAACATTAATTTCAGGGAGCCTTTTATTCAGTTGAGTAGATGCTGACTCAGTGCTAAAGAATCTAACAATGCAGGAGCTGCAGGAGATGCGGATTTGATCCCTGTGTTGGGAAGATCCTCTGGAGGAGGAAATGGCAACCCACCCCCAATGTTCTTAACAGGTATAATCCCATGGACAGAGGAGCCTGGCGGCCTACAGTCCATGAGGTCCCAAAGAATTGGATGTAGCTGAGCACGCACACACGCATAGCCATAACAGAGTGCTTGGCGCAGAGTAAAAACCGGTTGCAGACATTTTACTACTAAAAAGCAGCATTTGCTTTAACAGACAGCAGTATTGACTACAAGTACCTTGTCTATATAGACTGAAGTAAGGCTTTGGGGGGTAAGCACACAATTTGCAAGTTTTAAATATTGGCATTTAACCTTGACTCTGCATTGGAATAAGTCGTAGAGGGTTTTATCTGGTTCATAGGGTATTGTCCTCAACCCACTGAATCACACATTGAATCTGGAGATTGAATCTGGAATCCACACATTGCTCCAAATTAATAATTTATACATAACAGCCATAACTTGTCAATATGAAAAGTTATCTCACTGCTTATCTTCAGGTTTGGGAACATAGTTGAAGGGTTCTACAACTGAAAAGATGGTAAGATAATCACAGACTATACAACTAGAAGTAAAACCTTTTTTTTTTTTTTTTTTTTAAGAAGTAAAACCTTTTAAAAGAGAAATAAAGTCTTGAAATTGGTGTTTTATGTGTTAGTTACATCAACTTTCATGTCTATCTGGAGGGGAAAATCTAGTTCTTTAGTCTATAGAAAGCAAAGTACTGAAAAGTTATTTTGAAATATTGAACAAGTCAAAGCCTTTTAAAGAAAAAGTTACTTTGGTGATAACGATGTCAACAGAAATTGTAATGAATTGAACCTTGTATTAAATTGGACCAGAAAGGCTCTATTAAAAGGAAATCACTGTAACATTAGGAAAAAATGTTGTAGGTAAATCTTCTTGCTTTGAAATTAGTTTTCTATAGAGTGCTTTCTGCCTTGAGGTTTATGATAGTCTTTGTACTGCAGAAGCCTTCGTTGGGTGGTAACTATTTCACACAGCAGTAGTCAGTTTCAGTACTGCAATATTTCAGTATGAGGCATATTTCCTAACTCTTTCTGTTGGTTGCAAGGATGGGTGCTAGATATTTTACCACGGTATCTTCAGGTTTGGGGCTGATTATCATAGCTGATAGTTATTTGCTGACTTATGTGTTAAAAATGCATCCTATTTTGCATCCAGTTTAGATACTAGAAATGAAACTATGAAGTCATACCATCCCCAACCTAGTCTCTCATCTCCCTTTAGTTTACTCAAAGGTATATCAGTTATTTTTGTTATGTGGGGTGGTTTTATGTGGCTGTACTTAGTTTGATAAACTTAATTATTCTGTAAGTTTTTTCATTCTCATGCCTGTTTTTGAATATGTACACTCTTGCAGAGTTAGTTTTTACGTATCATTGTGGTTTGGAAATGTTTGATATTTCATAATGTTTTGGGTTTGAAATGGTGCATCAGTGACTTCATTGCTGATTTTAAGATCGATTAATAATTATGTAGTCCAGAACTACTTCTGTCAGACTTCATTACAGGACCTTCAATATTGATAGGTGAAATGTAGATTGGGCGGTTTGAATAATGCATCTCTCTGCTCTTTGTGAGATTTCAGTGGAATAGTGAAACTGAAATATTGCCATCTTAAATGGTGTTTTCTTGGCCGGTCACTTTGCATCCTTTGACTCAGGAAAGTTCTGTCTTTTGTTGTTGTTGTTTTGTTGCTGGCTGACTTCTGCAACCCCATGGCCTGTAGCCCGCCAGGCCCCTCTGTCTATGGGATTTTCCAGGCAAGAATGGGGTGCGTTGCCATTTCCTTCTTTCCCAATCCGGGGATCAAACCTGCATCTCCTGCATTGGCAGGCGGATTCTTTACCACTGAGCCACCAGAGAAGCCCCTGTCTTATTAATGCTGGCAAGATAGCTTAGACTTAGAAATGTAGTACAATCTGAATGTGTGGCTGCTGTGCCTCTTTTTATCTAGAGGAAAACAACTGGTTATAAAATGTGCTTTGCTTTCGTAGTACTCACTTTTTAAAATAGTCTGTTTTCTATTGCTGTGGTAGCGCATTAAAGGATGTTTGAGGACATACCATCTGCTTTGTAGGCCAGGGAAGAGTAAAAGCAGTTCTCAAAGTGTTCAGATGTTGGATTTTTTTTCCCCCATTCTGTAAATGATGGCAAATATTTTTTCACTTTTGATTGTCATTGTGTCCCTAGTATCTTCATTGTCCTAAGGACATTATAGGGTCTTGAAGTAGTCGTTGAATGGATTAAATATTTAATATTTAAGGGTCATAGTCATTTTGTTAGTAGCTTGCTCATTCAGAATATTACAACCTCTAAATATTGAGTACTGCAAATGTAGGCTGCAGTAATTATGCATGCATATAATAGATATTTGTGAATAACTACTAGTTCATACGAAATTATGCCTTCTAATCTTTGTTTCATTGTAATACTGGGTAACTGACATTAGTCTGTTTTTGTTAACTGAGGGTTCTGACTGACCAAGTGCAGTTTTGTTGATTCTGTGTTGAAATACAGTACTAAAAGCTTGCTGATGACTCTCTCCCTTGATATAGAAAGTTTTAAGTTCCTTTTGGGCTTACATCTACAAGTTGTCATTATATGTATCAGTTTTCAGTTTTTCCAGCAGTTGAAAAAAGACAACTCTTTAGACATTTGGCTTGTGGATAGAAATGGTGATTTTTAGAAAATTGTTTTGTACTTTTGGCTTTTGATTACTTTTAATGGTAAAAATTTGGAGGCTTGGAAATTTTGAATATGTATTTCTGGAAATATATTTTAGAAGAATTCAGAGACTTAACCTTTTTTTATTGTTTATTTCTGACTGTGCTGGGTCTTCACTGTTGAACGGGCTTTTCTCTAGTTGCTGTGAGCTGAGGCTACTGTCTAGTTGCAGTGTGAGGGCTTCTCTTGTTGCAGAGCACAGGCTGTAGGGCTCACAGGTGTCAGTAGTTGCTGCACATGTACCCTCAGTAGTTCTCTAGGGGATCTTCCTGACTCAGGGTTCAAACCTGTGTTTCCTGCATTGCAGGTGGATTCTTTACCTGCTGAGCTATCAAGGAAGCCCCACCTTTAAAAAAATTTTTTAAAAAATATTCTATACTAACTATAGTACTGGTTTGCCTTTTCCTAATTATATTTATATAGCCAGCTCAGTGTTGATAAACTTGATGCCAGATCGCACCACATTGGTTTTTTTTGACTATATTGCACAGCATATGGGATCTGAGTTCTCAGACCACAGATCAAACCTGAGCCCCCTACATTGGAAGCAGAGTTGTAACCACTGGAGCACCAGGGAAGTCCCTGGCACCCAGTGTTCTTGATGATGATTTGTATTCTTAAAGATTAGCGTTACGCCTTGAGTTTGACATGTATTTTGTTTTTGTTTCTTTTTTTTTTTGTCGGGGGGACAGGCTTATGCAATATTATTACAAGTGGATGCTGTAAATGAAACTATGAGGTCATGCCATCCTACCCTAGTCCCTCATCTCCCTTTAAGTTTAGAAAACCAGTGGTTTTCTTTATGTGGGATGGTTTTGTGTGACTATTTGGTGCATTCTTTGTGATACTTCAAATACTTTTAACAGACTCTAAATATAATAAATATTGAAAAATCAGTAAGGGCAAATAGTTTTACTCTTTATGATAATTCTCATAGTCATTTTAAAAAATGTATATATTCCATGGCTGATGCATGTCAATGTATGGCAAAAACCACTACAATATTGTAAAGTAATTAGCCTTCAGCTAATAAAAATAAATGGAAAAAAAAATAAAACTAAAAAAAAATGTATATATTATTTTGAGATAAGCAGTGGTATTTAATCCATTAACACCATTGAACTTTTACTTTCAGTTTTTAAAATAACGATGTGTCCTGTTTGAAGTGTTCAGTAACTAACACTTCCTCTTTACCAGAAGACTTAAAAACCTGATTCTTTTTTCCATATAAACAAATTTACATAGGATAAGTTGATATCAAGTTAATTCTTATGCCAAATCTCTACTCTCAAATGTTCAAACTAAGTAATGCAGCAGTCCGTTTGTTCTCAGCAATAAATGTTCAGAGTAATGCTAGTTGGTTGTCTAGTATGTTTTATTTGCATAGCATAGTTTCATAATTATATTAAAGCTTATATACCTGAAAATTATCTTATATGACTGATTTTTAGTGCATTAATTTTCTCTCTTGCAGCATTTTCAGTTAGCTTTGGTTGACTGTAATCCCTGCACTTTGTCCAATGCTGAAAGTAAGTATTATTAAGTACCATAGTTTTCTGCATGTGTTCAGATCACTTCATGCAGATAATAATAATAATCATGAATCCTGTGTAATTTTTTCCCCTGGAATTGTTGAATCTAACTATATTTGTTACCATAACTGTTTGTACAAATGGAACATGTGAGACCAGTTATTTTATTGTGAACAATGTGTGTCTAAAATATATGCTAGTGAACTGGGTTGTTGAATTAAAATTTTCTGGTACTAGTGAACAAGATTGATTATTTGTATATTAATTACATTGTAGATGACTTGGGGAGGTTAAAAACAGGATTACCAGTCTTTTCAGAAATCTGAGTGTATAAAGATTGATTTGTTAATTCACTGATTAATACTTTGTGAATTAAAATTATTGGTAATGACGAGGATATACTTTGACTTTCTGTTATAATTTTTAAACATCATACATAGTGTGGTGAGATTTTTCAGTTAATTAGAGTGCATAAAAAATTGAATCATTCTTCATGAAAATTTCAGATAAATCAACGATTCTAGATTTTACAAAGTCAGTAGTTTAGTGAAGTTAGTAGTCACAGTGGTAAAAATGCCTCCAAATGATTGACTCAGTGAAAAAACTGTAGAAATTTGAATATAACTTGCATATAAGATGAAATAAGATATAGTGTTGACTAAATCATTATCTACACCAGACTAATTGTCTCATAATTCTACTAAATGCAGTTTTCTGAGAAAACTTAAAAGAATTCTGTTTCCTTTAAATGAAACTTAGGGTTTAGTACTGATCAGTGTATTTCCAGAACAAATGGTAGAAAGGTAACAAATGCAGCACTATTTTCATTTCTAAGATGAGGTTAAATGAGAAAAAGGATTTAACTCATTGATATATTAATTTATGAAGTGTTCATTTTTTATTTTTACTTATTTATGTATCCTTAATTTTATATCCAGGTTATATAAACCATCTAAAATATAAACCCCTAAAATCCCTTTAAAATTATTTTATGGGAATAAGGGAAAAAAAATCTGATTTTCATTTAATTGATTGTATCTAGTACCTAGAAACTAACTTTCATTCGTACTTGTCAATTTGAATGATAAACTCTTGAGGGACGTTTCATAACTTTCAAACTAAATACTTTTGTAAATCCTTATTTTATTCTACTGGAGCTGAAATCTTACTTGTAGATCATTGTGCCTGAGAGGGAAACACCTATGTAGAATGAGTACCAGAGGGTAGATACTTTCTTGTGGAATTTGAAGAGGACAGTTCTAACAATCAGGAATACATTTTTGAGCTTACCACAGCTCTCTTTCTCTTGATTGCTGAGAAAGGAAATAAGAGTCCTGCTCTGCACAGGACTGAGGAATTTCCCCAGACTCAGAACTATGAGTGCTAAAAGGTTCGTCACTCTTATGGAAAGCATGTGCTTTATTTAGAGACATTACGCCATTATAGTTCAGTTGATGTGGGTAGTTTATTTTTAACTATATAACTTCATAACCATGATAATAAAGACTGGTGTCTCACAGAGCACTCTCAAATATAGACTACTCACTTTGGGTACACATTATTACTATATAAACACCAGACTCTTTATAATCTTTGTAAAACTTACTTCTCTTCGGATTTTTTAATATCACCTATTTAGATAAGCCACAGACTTGTTTTTTGAAATCTTCCATGTTACTTTGTCATACTACAAAGGTCAGAAGATTTTAGAAAGTGAAGTGAGCTTTTAAAGTCTAAGAGATTTCTGTTTTATTGCACAGTTCATTTATGCATTAAAAAAACACATATACTTGCCACTTCTAGAGCCTTTAAGAAGGGTTAATTGCTCTTTGTGTTTTGAAAAGTAGCATCATGGTGATGAGAGACTTATACGATTGCCCCTTGGGATAAAATTGTTTCTTTAATTAATTCTAAAAATGTCTTAATTTATGAATAAAGTTTAATTTCAGAACTTTTTATGGCAATATTTGTTAAATTTCTACCTCTAATTGAGACTTGCCAAGTGGAGCTTTTTCTTACCTGTATGGTTATGTTCCACTTTGAAAGAAGACTTTTAAGAATCTAAATATAAATTGGTTTTCACACCAGAAAAGATGATACTGGATTTAGTAACTTCTGGGATAGGAAAGCCCTTGTTGAGCCTGGAGGAACTTTGGGATGGAAATAGAATGCTACCTTATTGCTACTTATCTTTTCTTCCATGTCACCTTTCTTAGAGGAGTAAGAAGACGGGGGCGGAGAGCGGGGTAGATAAACATATATTTTCCATCTCTTCCTCATTCTCTAATGATATAGTCAGGTGAGATTTGTACTGGAACTCTCAAAGAGAGCTGTGTTGAAAAAGGGGACTAGCAAATAAGAAAGCCACTCAATAGATACAGGTAAAGGGAGAGGATATTTAAATCTGTAGAACTTTTATTATTATTTTTATTATGTACTTTTCACAAAAAGTTGATTTTCATCTTTTTAAAAATGATATTTTTATTTTGTCTCATCTCTGCTTATGATATTTAATGATTATATATGAAGAAGGCAGTACTTTTGATCCAAAAATGTTTGATTTTAGAGTTCATTATATATTTTGTTTTGGGCTTTGTGCATATTTACTTTAGCTATTCTCAGGTGCTGCTCTAGGAAACCGGTGTCAAAATCCTTTGTTAATCCCAGAACTAAATAAAAAGGTACCTTTCCGGGCCTTGCCCCAGGCTCACTGAATACCATCTCAGGGATCTCTATTTTTAACTAGCATCTCAGGTGAATCTTACAGTTACGGGAGTCAGTGTGAGAGTTAAGTTTATGATACCAATGAGAACTTGATGATAGCTGTAGACCTTATTTTTAAAGATCCAGATACATATTTACATATAATTTTGAAAAGCTCCCAGACTCCTTGAAAGCCAACTATGAAATCCAGGTAGATCGAACATTTAAAAAAAAAAAGATTTGTCGTTGGAGGATGAAAATCATTTTAGTAAGCCAGAATCCAGTTTTGATTCCTGATTCATTGTTGCTTTCATTGAATCATTCATATTCTGGTGGTGCAGTATCAGGAAGAGCTGGAAATAAAAGCTGAAATACGTATATTTTTTATTTTCCAGAGATACTTGTTAATGTTAGTATTCTTTATTATTGTTGCTTTCCAAGTGGTGTGACCTTTTAAAAAATTTTTTTGAAGAGCTGATAGAGAAATGCAACTTATTGTCTGTGACATCTTTGTGAACATTAGTATGAAATATATAATGAAATATATAGCTAAAAAGAGTATTTTTCATTGTTTTAATCAAATATTGACTTTCTTTTTTGTTTTAACTGAGGTTTTAAATACCATCTTGTGAAATGTATAGATTATAAAAGTTATATTTTATATCTGTTTAATGTTGCCATTTAAACTTTACGTATACTCACTTGCTCCAGATTTTAATGTTAATTTTAATAATTACATTGACAGAATTTAGTAATGGCCAATAATGAATACATGTAGTTTCTTATCATGTTCTTGTATGCTTGTATATTTTATTAAGAATAAGTTATGTTCTGAAATTACTTAAATCTATGCAGCAGAGATAGTGTTTATATTTTACATTTTATATTCTTACTTAAATTTATCCAAACACTACTGTAAACAGTTGTTGACTTATTTTCTCATCTTTGCAGTTCAATTTCACATTGCCCACTTATATGAAACCCAGGTAAGTGTTTTAACTTAGCTTACTTTAAAACACTCATACCATTTTAAGTGGAATCAGATACACAGATAATTTAATGGAGTTCTGGGCACTACTTACATAATTCTCAATAAATGTGGTCAAGATTTTGCATTCATGTTACAGTTATTACACAGAGTTCCTGTTGTATACAAAGAACCCATTAAACTCAAACTATCTGCAGCCTTAAATGGCTGTATTTGAGAAGCTTTCTCATATTCTTGACGTGGAATGCCAAGGTTTCTTTTCAGAATGTTATAGATGGTTGTTATAATGCATTGTTCTTAGTTTCACTTTTTATTAAGATCAAAATACCCCTTCCGTATATCACCATTTGAAAAGCATATTAGTAACCTCTTTATGTCATTTATGTCACCAGTACTTTTATGGCTGCTATATTTAATTTTTTTTTGGCTGTGCTGCAAGGCATGTCGGATCTTAGTTCCCTGACCAGGGATGGAACCTGTGACCCCCACAGTGGAAGTGCAGAGTCTTAATCACTGGACCACCAGGGAAGCCCTGGCTGCTATATTTAAAAAGCTATTTTAGAACATATTTTTGTATATGGCAGAATTTGCTTAGTTACATGATACAGGGTATAACACATAAACATTTAGTCTAGGTAAGCAGTGGTATGGGCTTCCCCAGCTGGTAAAGAATCCACCTGCAATGCAGGCGACCCCGGTTCAATTCCTTGGTGGGAAGATCCCCTGGAGAAGGAATAGGCTACCCACTCCAGTATTTTTGGGCTTCCCTGGTGGCTCAGTCGGCAAAGAATCCGCCTGCAATGTAGGAGACCTGGGTTTGATTCCTGAGTTGGGAAGATCCCCTGAAGAAGGGATAGGCTACCCACTCCAGTATTTTGCCTGGAGAATTCTGTGAACAGAGGAGCCTGACAGGCTACAGTCCATGGGGCTGCAAAGAGTTGGACATGACTGAGCGACTAAGCATAGCACAGTTAGTGGTATGGAAAATCAAGCGTAAGTTGGTATGAGGCTAAATATTAGGTAATCATAGTTTGCTGCTGTTATGCTATGCTATAGAAATAAGCTACTTCTCCAAAGTTCTTTCTCTGGAGCCTTAGTTCTTTCTGCTTTCATTGCCTCAGGAGATTTCTGTTGCCTTCTAAAGGATGAGCTCTGATTTTTTCCCCCCGGTTTTCATAGCTCTTAGTGAGATTTCCCTCATCGGTCATTAGGTAAAACAGATGTTATCTAACCATTCTTTTTAATGAGTGTTTTTTTGGCTGGAGATGGAATTCTAGTTTTATTACTGTATATGACCGCTTTAAAATTTACATTCCATTGCCCTCTGGTTTTCATTGTTTCTGGTGAGTCGTCTGTTGGTTATAATTGTTTTGAATCTTATGAAGGTAATGTGGGGACAGGGCCCTTCCCCCACTGATTCTTTCATTTGATAAATTTTAGTGCCCATTAAGATTAAACAAAACAAAACCAAAAAAAGTTCATGCTAGGCAGAGTATGTAATTATTAGATGATAGGAAGCTGACACTATAAGCGGATGAAAGGGTTGAGAAATCTCTGCTTCAGTGCTTATAACAAGGATTTTTATTTTCAGGTGAAAAATTAAGGAAAACAGACTTACCTACCTATCTGAAGTGTACAATGTGATGATTTGATATATGTGTGATTTCCCCCCACTGAATTATTAACACACCCGTCACCTCACACCTTCAAAGAGGAGCATTGAGAACATTTTAGTTCTCTTCACAAACTTCAGTTGTACAATACATTGTTATCAGCAGTAGTCATCATATTATATGTTTGATCCTCAGACCATATTTATCTTACAAATAAAAGTTTGTACCCTTTTACCAACCTCTCCCTGTTTCTTCCATCTCACCTCCTGGTGACACTTGCAAATCCCCTCTTCTAGAAGATCAAGCCCCCACCTCACCGCTTTTTAAAAAGAATCCACACAGAAGTGACACTGTATATAGCATTTATCTTTCATTGCCTCGTTTTTTTTCACTTACCATAATTCCCTCCAGGTTTATCCATGCTGTCACAAATGACAAGATTTCCTTCTAATTTTAAGGGTGAAATACCATTCCATTGTATTCATACACCACATTTTCTTGATCCCATCTGTAGACAGACACTTAAGTTGTTTCCATCCTTGTTCACTCACTAAGTTGTATCAGACTCTTTGGAACACCAAGGACTGCAGCATCTCCTGGAGTTTGTGCAAACTCATGTCCGTTGAGTTGGTGATGCCATCCAACCGTCTTATCCTCTGTTGCCCCCTTCTCCTCTTTCCTTCAGTCTTTCCCAGCATTAGGGTCTTTTCCAGTGAGTCGGCTCTTGGCATCAGGTGGTCCAAGTATTGGGGCTTCAGCTTCAGCATCAGTCCTTCCAATAAATATGCAGGGTTGATTTCCTTTAGCATGGACTGATTTGGTCTCCTTGCAGTCCAAGGGACTCTCAAGCACCACAATTTGAAAGCATCAATTTTTTGGTGCCAGACTTCATTATGGTCCAACTCTCACACATCTGTACATGACTACTGGAAAAACCAAAGTTTTGACTGTACAGACCTTTGTTGGCAAAGTGAGGTCTCTGCTTTAATTACACTGTCTACGTTTGTCATAGCTTTCCTTCCAAGGAACAAACATCTTTTAATTATTGTGATTTACTCTTAGATATTTATATCATTTATTTATCTTTCTCATTTTATTAGCTGAGACCCTCCCCATAGTATTTTTTTCCTAATAGTATTAATGGCTTTCATTTCTTTTTCTTGATTATTTATGAAATGACTTGAATAGGTCACCATCTAAATTCTAAATAAACTTAAAGATTAAAGGTAAAGCATTTCTCCCTTTTAATCTTGTTGTTAGTGTTACTTATTTTTGAATAGATAATCCAAAATGAAAGTGCCTGAAAGAATACACAGTGAAGTATCCTTCTCACTGTTTTTCCCTGGCCATCTAGTCCCCTGCCAAAAGCTACCAACTACCATTATCAGTGTTTTTATATCCTTCCAGAGAAACTTGTTGTATATATAAGCAAATCTATATGTATGTTTGCACATATTTTATTTTATTGAAATAATAGCCCATTATGTAGGTTTTCTCTTGATCTTGTTTAAATTGGTTTATTTTTTTAAACTTAGTATTATATTTTGGAAATCATTCCTTATTAATACATGTTGATCTGTATTACATCCCTTTGCAGAGATGTAGTGTAACAAATTTAACTATTCTCCTGTGAGAGATAGTTATAATGTTACTATGAATAACACTGTTGGTAAGAATTACTAGTTTCATTGTTAACCTTGCCTTCTAACTATCCAGCCATAGTTATTACTGAAACATTATAGACTGGTTTCATTTATGCATATTATAGAAGTCCAAAAATTCTAAAGAAAGAAAAATTTAAGCAAACATTTAAAGATGCAGTAAGTATGTCCTGATTACCTAGGGTTTATTCCATGAATTCAAGGTTAGTTCAGTATAAGGAAATGTGTTAACAAAACAAAAATCAATGTAAGGAAAACAATATTGTGAGGAAGAAAGATTTTTTAAAAAGAAATTAATGGTATTAAAAGAGAAAAATGGTAGATCTAATTAAATGAAGTCAAAATGTTTTTTATTCTAGAAAAAATTAACAAAATAGATAAATCACAGACTAACTTGATTAAGTGGATAAATGAGATAAACCACAGATACACAAAATAAGATGACCATGGGTACAGAAGAAATTAGAATAATCCTATGAGACTACTTAGCAGACCTCTGTCTGTGTGTGGATGGATTTCAAAACGTGAATGAGGTAGACTATTTCCCAGGGAAGTACAGATTAGCAAAATTGACCTCATTAGAGTTAGAAAAGTTATAAAAAGCCATTTTTCATGAAAAGAGAAAAGTAATGCCACAGAGAAAGTACCATGCCCAGTTGGTTTTACAGGAGAATTCTACCAAACCTTAAAGACCATATAATTCAAGTACTCTGTAGATTGTTCCAGAGCATTAGAAAAGGAGAAAAGCTTTCTAATTTCTTTCTCCTTTTTTTGAACAGGATAATCAGGGGCTTATAAATAACTTTCTGCCTGACCTTGAGAGACATGTGTTTGATCATAAAGTCTTTTCTGCACTTACTGATTCTATTGTGTATTTTTGAGATAAAATAGAAACAAACGTCTGATTCTAAAAATCACTTATGGACCATGGTTCTTTGATGTCTTTTTTATTTTATTGTGACATGTACATGACATAAATTTTACCGTTTTAGCCATTTGTTCAACCATTTGTTCAGTGGCATTAAGTACATTCACTTTATTGTGCAACTATCACCACTGTCCGTCTCTAAAACTTGATCATCTTCCCAAGCTGAACCTCTGTACCCAATAAAGAATAATTCCTCATGCCTCCCTCCCTACAGCCCCTAGCAACCACTATTCCACGTTTTATCTCTATGAGTTTGACTATTCTGGGTACCTCATGTAAGTGGAATGGTACAGTATTTGTCTTTTTGTGTCTGGCTTATTTCGCTTAGCATAATGTCTTTAAGGTTTGTGTATACTATAGCATGTGCCAGAATTCCATTCCTTTTTAAGGCTGAGTAATACTTCATTGTATGTATACATCACATTTGGTTTATCCATTCATCTGTCAGTTGATTTTCAGCTTTTGGCTGTTAAGAATATTGCTGCTATGAACATGAATGTGCAAATACCTGTTTTTATTCCAGCTTTCATTTTTTCTTTCTCTTTTTGATATATACTCAGAAGTAGAATTACTGGGTCATATGGTAATTCTGTTAAAAGTTTTGAAGAACTTTCACACGGAGTTTTCCCTCATTCATTTTTTAAGAAAGTACATGTAACATTGATACTTAAACCTGATACAGTACAAAAAAATGAATGTACACACTGTTATCACTGATGAATGTTGGTATAAAAATACTAAATAAATTAGCAAACAATCCATTACCTCGTGAAACAAATACACTATGAGCAAGTGG